AAATTCTCTCTACGATTGTTTAACGATTTCGTGATGGTTTGTTAACGATTTTTCTAAGGATCATTTATATTTTCTTTATTGGTTTGTGTTAAAAAATTTGAATCTCCAACTTACATGCAAAAATCTTAATACTCAGTTTTAGCAGATACACTTTCTATAACAGTATTTTATTCCTTATATTTGTGTAAAATAATAGGTACTAGTACTACAATATTCATTTTTTTGCTTTTTTTTTGGTTTTGATTAGCTTCAACAATATCCAAATAATGTTTAAAACAGAGTTCTTGACTCTCTTTTAAATATTGAAAATATTTAAAAGTTCCTTTCTCTTTAGCTTTTTTATATACAATAGGAGTAAGTTTGCAAAACTTGGTTGCATCATTATTACAATCATGTATTGAACAGTGATCAAAATATTTTGAAGACATTATGTAGCTTAAGATATTTTTTAAAACTATTGGTATATCAATAAAAAAATTATATAATTAAAAGTATAATCATGGCGATTATATTTGATTAATAGTTCATAAACCATATTTTTGCTCAATAAAAATTTTATTAAAAAAAAAAACTTGAAAACAATACTATTTGATTGCAAAATACTACCTAGGGGTTAGTAAAATTAGAGAGACCAACTTATTATAAAATATATCCACTAAAAATATTGCACAAATATTTGTATAACTATCATATAAATATATAATAAAAAATTTATGATCCTATACCAAAGAACTTTCGGTCATATTAGTTAACTACTAATTTGAGACATGTTATTGTTGTATACTATTTCTGTGGCCTGGCAGTTTTATATAAAAATTAGGTACAGTTTGGTGTTCACAGAAACTTAATATTATTTTCTTAAACAATTGAGGTTGTCAAATGTTAAATTCTGACTTTATTAACCTTCCTTTTAGTGAACTATCTTATCTTACATATTATATATATTATTAGAATACAAGTCACTCTTGTTATAGTAAAGTAATTAGGACTATTAATAAAAATTTTTTAAAAATTCACTATATCAAGAGTTTATTAGTAAATTTACTATATTGAGAGGATGTTATATAGGTTGGTTTTAAGCCTAACTTCACTATAATGAGAGTTCACTATAACATGAGTGACTTGTACTTTAGAAAATAACATCTATAGTAATGCATTTCATATTTAGCTGAAATATGTAAAAATTCTTTAAAACTTTTATGTATCAATTTTTTAGGCTATAAAAATATTTTAGAAAAAGCAAATTATAAGGGTAGCGAATTGTATTTTTTTTTTAAAAAAAAAATTTAAGAGTTTGATAACTTTGATACTAAATTTAAATCAAGTTTGATTACTTGATTTATTTTTATAACGTGAGCCTTAATTAATTCTTTATATAAGATAGATCTACATCTTTTGTTTACTATTAGAATATTTATATATTATGTGATTCTTGAAATTTTTAAATAAATTTGAATTGAATTCATCCATATAAATAAATAATATCAAATAAAGTCTAAAAAATATTCAGTATAAAAATTAGCATTAAAGTCATTCTATTTATAACAAATTTATTTATTATTTTTATTTTTTTGTAACTATTTATCAGATTTCTAATTGCCTGACTATATATTCCTACTTCATAAAATTCTCTATATTTGATATATTTGAAAACTAATAAATTACCTTTAACTATGTTTTTGTATATTTCAAGATTATATTAACTGAGAGAATTGTTACTGCCTTCAATAAATTTATATACTACTTTATTATTTACTTTGCTATAGCAGTCTCTGATTAGCAACTTCAAATACCACACAAATGTGATAAGTAATCATTTTGAGCTAAATTCAGATTGGATACTTTGAGTACTTTACAGAAAGTTATAATTTTTTAATAATATCGTAATTAAGTAGTTACTAAATTGTTACCAAATTGATACAATT